GTGGGCCGGACCCACTAGCCATTGAGAGAGCCCTGGGGAAAATCATCAAACCCCATATAAAATGGGGCAAATGATCCAAATCCCCGGCCTGATCACCCCTACATCTGGTGCTCTACAATTACATACCACAAATTTACAATCTCAAACCCTTTACAACCTCAAACCCATCCTACCAACAAACCAACTTGTGGTGGGCTGGTTAGGAGGACAGTGGTATTCCCAACCCACCGGAGTTCAATTCCTAGACTTGAACATGTCCTCACACATTTCTGTATTTATTTCAGGCCTTCCGGCTATGTGGGTTCAGTGGTAGCTAGGGGTGAGTGTATTACATATGTATAAGCGTATGTGTCTGTACTATTTTAAAGAAAACCGTACTACCCTTGCAAACACAAAATAACCCACATACTACTACATAGAGATATGAACTAGCCTATTAACACTACTCATCGTCGGAGATGTACACGACGTCTGTGTGGGCGATCCCAGATGGATCGACCTCCTACTCGTTGGCCGCCTCATCTACGACCACGAAGAGTTCGTCGCGCTCCATGGACATGTGTTTGAGGAAGCGGTGGATGGCCTCCACCTTGAGCTCCGACCGTATGAAATCGAGGACGGCTTGCTACTCAGCCGCCTCTTCCACTTGGGCGACATCGAACTCCGTCAACACTTTGTCCTTGGCAAAGCCTGCAGCTGAATCCACCTCACATGCATCCTCTTCCTTCTCCAGATTTATGTCCTCCATGGCCGGGTCCGGCCCGTCCTCCTCCTCTGACTCCGGCGATTCTGGAGGCAGTCCGACTACAATCAGAGCTTTGCGCTGATGGAACAGAAATTGTTAGTACACTCGGTAGGGTGCCTGGCGAGGTCGGAAGTACCAGGATGGAACCCACATGCACAAGCTACCCAGGTTCAGGCCTCCCGAGGGTAATACCCTACGTCCTACTCTTTGTTGCTATCCATGGTGGGGATACCTCATGCGAGGGATTACAATGGTGTAGATGTGATTGCTACCTAGAGTTGTTCTACGAGAGAGAGAATAATTTTAATTATTTAATGACTTCTTATGTTGTGTTGTGGCCTACCTTGTTTGAAAATTTATTTTAAATAACTCATCTTATTTAGCTCGAGATCGACTCGAGATCATAACAAGCTGAGCATGAGCCATTTTCTACAGCTCGACCTTGAGCTTCGCTCGATTTGAGATCGCCCAAATTTTAGTATAAGTTAAGTTGAGCCTAATCCAACTCGAACGAACTCGACTCATTTGCAACCCTGATTACGGGCTGCATATGCGTCATTTGACCCCGAGTGGATTACTGCATCTAGCCTGCTATGTGACCCTCTGTGAGTGCTTTCTTGGGGTCCTCCCTCACTTTGGCCTCTGGAAGCACTTCTTTGAGTTCGTGTCGCGTTTGATGAAAGGCAATATTCTGGCCTATGGAGGAGCAGCCATCTGGCCTGGCCTTGGCTCCCGATATTTTGAGCTCACATCACCTCCTGAGGCAAAGGAATGTGAGTAGTATTTGTTCTATGCACCAGACATAGTGGGGCATTACACGAAGGTCGGACTGCCCCGTTTGCTAATGTGCCCTCATGGCAGAAGCCAGAGTGGGGCTCAGTGCTAGAGGTCTCCTTGGAGACCGCCACACTGATAGAGGTAGTCCATCATCTTCCAGATATAGGGTTGTAGGGCGTCCACATCCTGAAGACCTAGATGGAGAGGAACATCCAGTCCCCGGGATGGAGGGAATTTCCTATGTTTGACTACAAAGGTCTTAAGGATCCAATCACCTTCTCGACTGGGAGATCACGGAGGCAGACATGGAGCTCCATATGCATTTGGTTACTGGTCTCCTCCTAGGTGAGATCTGCTTGGGGGTCGCCATGGAGCCCTATCACCAGGGCAATCCTTGCCCCGAGGTAACTCATGGTGACCTGCTTTGATGCCTTTTTATATTTGAAACTTGCCTTTTGCTTGTGTTGGTGTTGCTTGCTTGTTCTTAGACCTTCCAGGATTTCATCTTGATCCCTCCTCAGCCCCGTTGTGCTGATGCGGCTATGTATTGTGTCAAGGCTTCGTGGCCGCCTCCTTGGTGTACTCCGAGGGTGCGGTGCATGCACAAGCGGACCCGTCGCCAGGGAGGTCACAGAAGAGGTCGAGAAGATGACTATCGCCCTTCCATTGGCGAGAGTCATGTGGTCTTGAACCACGCCGTCTGCAAGCCTAGCTGTCGAGAGTGCTGGGACCCACAAGCTACATGTGAGTTCGTCGGTCTCGGCTTCAAGCGAACAAGAGCCCCAGGAGACCTCCGTTTTGTGCACCTTGACAGAGACTGGCAAGGGTATGGCTGGAACACCGAATCTTGACACCGAAAGAGAGCCGCCGCATCAATCAAGTGAGGTGGACTCCCCAAGTGTGGAGGCCGCTAGATCGTCCAGCCCACCCAAAGTGATGACATCGCATGCTGTCGTGCCTGAAGTGATCCCCCGTCATAGGCCCAAGGTTGGTGCTCGAAAACCCTTATCCAAGTATTGTTTTTCCTCCATCCGTGATTTTTGCTCGATTGTTTTCCTTTGTTCTTTATGCGACTTCATAATCCTGTAGAGCCACACACCTTAGGAAGAAACTTGCAGGCCACCGCTTGAACTCGAGTCCTCATCCTTCTGTTATTTTGTTGCCTTTTGGAGAGTGGCCCTATGGCGACCCAGCCCCTTCAGCTGTTGCAGGCCAGGACCAGCTAGAGTTGAGATGCTTTGCGAAGCCCCCATCGGTCCAGGGTTGTGACAAAGTTGTGGATCCGGATCGTGGGTCTGTGTTGGGCACTGATTCTATGAGTTGTTCCATGCGGGCTCCTGCTTCTACCTCGGATGATCTTGAAGGCTCGGATATGTCGAAGGAAATGAAGTCTGCACTTCAGGAGAGCAGTGTGCTTGCTCGTGCACGCATGCCGCGTGACGAAGCTCGCAACAAAGGTATGTCGAAGTGTCAAAGAGTCTGTCACCCTCCTAGTAGCCCCCGAGCCCTGAGTGCACTGTGGTTTGCCATAATGGGCTCGAGGTTTCTTCCTTGAACTGTTATGTTGCATTGAGTGAAACTATACTTTTCGCAGGTCTTGACGGAGCGTTGAGCCGCTCTTGTTTCGAGAGTGGAGGAGCTACACCATTTGTTGGATGATGAGAACCGTCGGGTTGTGGCACTTGAGAGCTCTGTTGCGGACTGTATCTGTGACTCTTCTTTCTTTTTAAAGAACTTGTGTCTGAGGATTCTCAGTTTGTTTGCTGACGGCTCCTTATTGTGTTGGTTAAGCAGCCGAGGAGCAATTTCATGAGATATGGTGTCGCCTTGGCTTGGTTCGAAAGGAGACCGATCGTTGCCGAAGTGAGGTGCTTCCTTCGCTTTGGCTGTGTGCTTACCCTTCCACTTGAGATGAAATTATCCACCTTTCCATTCAGTAGTCAAGTTCAAATTTTCTTATCCCCTTCGCGAGTGACACACGAATCATGGGTTGACCCACAACGCGTTACCGCTCCTCCATTGCCGGGCAACCACAAGAGGAGGCAATGGATCGGCCACCGCTGCATCTTGGCATCGACAACAACGGGGTTGGGCATGGAGCAGCGTCCTCCTATCCTGTGTCTCCTCCTAGCGCATGGATCTGACTGTGGCCTGTTGCTCGACCTTAGTGGCAACAACGTCGAGGGGATAGTGCCGCTGGACCTAGCAAACGTTGTAGTGTTAGGGCTGTTGTCCACCGATGGAGGCTGGCTCGGTTTAGTCCCACCTCACCTACGGGAGGAGGCGATGACCAGCTTCTAAGGAAGAGTATCCCTCCTCCATTCAGTCCAGGATTTTGGGATGGAGCAGGCTCTCCACTGAATGTTGGCCCATGTGTGCATAAACGTCCAGAACATGGGTGAATGTGGGCTAGGCCGAGTTGGACACTAACATCTGGTATCAGAGCCAACACCACCATGCCTTCCGGAGGGGCTTCTTAGGGGGATGGGTTGTTAGGGCTGATGTCCACCGGTGAAGACTGGCTCTGTTTAGTCCCACCTCGCCTACGGGAGGAGGCCATGACCATCTTATAAGGAAGAGTATCCCTCCTCCTTTCAGTCCGGGCATTTGGGATGCAGTGGTCTCCCCGCTGAATGTTGGCACACGTGGGTGAATGTGGGCTAGGTCGTGTTGGACGCTAACATGTAGGGGCTTCATGTGTTCAACCTTCGCGGGGAGGAGCACGAGGAGTAGTTGCGGTAGAGCAAGCCTCCTCACCTCCGCGACCGATCCACTCTAGGGAGGCCTCGTCTCCCGGTTCCTTCCCCAGCTCGCGAGTACTAGCCACCACCATGAAGATGAGTTGTGGTGGAGCAAGA